AGGGCCCAGCAGAAGACTGCACATCTGGGGGTGTGCACACAGGGTCCTGTGCATGTTTCTACACGGGCCTTCCCCACCATCTCCATGCTGTTTGTGGCACTCTGCACTCAAACACCATTCTAGGCTAGGTACTGTGAGAAATACACGCCACTTGCCAGTTTATATCCCATATATCAGAGGGGCTGGATACTTCCAAAAATAATTAGATGTGAAGGCCACAACACTCTGCACTCAAACACCATTCTAGGTACTGTGAGAAATACACACCACTTGCCAATTTATATCCCATATATCAGAGGGGCTGGATACTTCCAAAAATAATTAGATGTGAAGGCCACAAGAATGCCAGATGAGGAAGGCTCTTGGGATCTCTCTAATCCCCACTATGGTGACTTGAGAAACAGGGAGGTTGTGTGGTCTCAGTCCTTAGAAAGCACACAGACTCATGCTCAGGGCATCTCTTGTGCATGAAAAATGGAACACTTACTATTTGCCAGCCACTCTATAAATTCTGGGTCTGTAGAGAATCCTGAGAGAATTCTGAAAGGATCAGTGGATGAGAACCTAGTTTGCCCAGTATTACCTACCTGATAATCTCCTTCTTGGACCCTAAACTCCACAATGGCCAGGACTGTCTGTTCACTGGGTAGGTACTCAGTGAATATTTGTTGACCACCTGATCAGGCTCTAAGCACTGGTTAAATAGTCATGTTCTAGAAAAATCCAGCAAAGAGGAGTTCCCACAAAGCCCAGCAGCTCTGTCCCTGCCCCATGGGATTCTCTCACCTTCTCCAATTTGCTTCCTCCCTAATCCAACTCGAGGCGGGTCGTGGGTAAAAAGAGGGCACTGATACGCGTTGATGATGAGTGTGTTCTGTAGCATGAGCCCACAAGGGTGGAAGAGCCCTTCCTGGGACATACCTCAGATCAAGCACAGCCCCTCTTCAAGCCAGCGGGCAACCCTACCGCCCATGTCTTTCTTCTCAACCCTGCTGTGTCTCCCTGTCAGGAGGTCAATGAATGAGATCGTGTGTGTCTCCCCCCCATCATCCAATGGGCTGGGCCCAGTCCCTATTTCCGTGAGTGTAGACCGAGCCCGTGTGGATAACAGCCTGCAGTTCGAGTACATAGACGACCCTCGGGTCCAGCATATTGAGCCTGAGTGGAGCATTGCCAGGTGAGGCGAAGGGTGGGAGGCACGTACCTGGCTGCCAAACGGCTTGGTCCCTGCAGCCTAAGTGTGGCTCAGGAGAGGGATCCCAGTGGTTGAGGTTCCCCATGCCAGGTTTGGGGGGGTTTACTTAATCTAGCCTCTGCTTGTTCCCAGCGGTCACACACCCCTGACCATCACAGGCTTCAACCTGGATGTCATTCAGGAGCCAAGGATCCGAGTCAAGTTTAATGGCAAAGAATCTGTCAACGTGAGTAATTGATGGTCCACCCCAGCCCCCAGTAAACACAGCTGGCGTGTATGTTTTGCAGTGAGGTGAGCTCTGGATTAAGCCCCAGAGCACCTGGACACTGGAGAGGAAAGTTGGCTCAAGACTTTTCTCAAGAGAAAGTCGGAATCATGGCCTCAAATACCTGAAACTTAAAATGGTTTTTATAATTACGGTATAATTTCTTGTCACAAGGGGACATAGCAAGTGTATAAAGTACTAGCTTCTGAGCTTATGATAGAGCACAAAAGGGCTCCTGTTTTATGACATGTTCACTTTGCAGTCCGATGAGAAGCAGTGTTACTGGGGTGGAAGAAATTCCGGGTCCAGATTCAGATGTTTCTGGATTGGAAGCAGGACTGTGCCATCTACTAGCTGCACAACCACGATCAAGGTCACTGATCCTCCACTCAGCTAGGAGTGGTGATGATAAGACTTGCCTCGCAGAGTCGTAACATGCCAGCCCATGGCTGGCGCCGCATTGGCCCTTGATAAACATTAGTCGCTGCATGCAGACAATCCCACCCCTGTTGCTGAGCTGACCATTTTGAACATTCTACTTTACTCCTCTGTGCAGAGCCAGGTAATTTTTTTTCCCATTATGAATTTTTCTGACTTTAAAGAAGTTCTCTGTATCAGAAGAGCAGAATGTCTGATACGTTGTAATTTTTTTAGTTTGTTTTAGTGGCTCCATCTCACTCTTTCAGCCAAAATTTTCTGAAACATTATGTTCATAATTGCAGTGCAGCAGATGCTATTATGAGCATTATTTTTCATGTGAATTACTGTCATTACTGCTTTGGCCTTCAGGTGATTGACTATAGGGTGGAGATGGGGAAGATGGTGTGTCTCCCCTCTTATCCCTGACGCATTCCCGGCATGCTTGAGGCTTCCTTAAGAAACACAGAGGTACACAAGAAGGTTAGATCTGGAAAGGTCTCAGGGATCATTAGTCCAACCCCTCCCACCCGCACATTGTATAGCTGGAGAAACGAAGGCCAGTAGGGATCGATGACTTTCTTCCAATCATAATGGGGACTGGTGGCAGGGCTGAGCCAGATCCCAAACACTGGGACTCTTCATAACTAGACCATGCAAAATGCTAGTGGGCTTGACCATTATGCCAGAGACGTGGAGGCCCCTGTACCACACCTTCAGCACCCACCCTGGTCACAACTCTCTGGGCTAGGTGAGCACATGCCTCCTTCCCCCTGGTATAGAGCTTGATGCAGAGGTTAAAGAGCCTATGCCCCCATTCCACTTCCAGACTGGAGCTAAGTGTTCCCAAAAACTCACAGATCACCTCCATTCTGTCAGACTCCAGGGCCTGAGGGAGGAGGGTGTGGTGCAGGAATGGAACAGTGAAGATACAAAACCCCAAGCAAATTAGGTACATGTTTCTCAGTATAAGTTTTACTATTATTCAGGTATGGCAAGGCCAGAGTGTAGTTTATTTGGTTTTTATTTGTTTTTTGGCACCTGACCAGTATGGGGATCCGAACCCCTGACCTCAGTATTATCAACACCGTGCTCTAACCAACTGAGCTAGCCAGCTAGCCCACAGTGTAGGTTATTATACTACAGACCAGATCCCAAGCAGAGGGGCATGCCAGAGGCGAGGGGGGGAACATGGCAAGAGTTTCCACAGGAAGGGACAGGCATGCAGGGGACGCAAGTTTAGGATTGGCTAGCTTGAGTAATTCTGGTGGGCTCGGGGGCATGGGGCTATCCCTTGTTGTCTGATACCTTGTTCTGGGGTGATTAGTGCATGTGAACACTGTCCCAGAGTGTGAAAGGAGGTGGTTGGGGGTGTGGGGTCTGGATTGGTTGGTTCACATATGGAAGGCACACTCATAGGCAAGCTGTTTGCTATCTCTAGGAGTTGGCTAGCTCTGGGAGGAACAGTCCCTCCCTGTAAGCAAGGCCCTAGATGTCAGAGCATCAGAATACAGAAAAAAAAATGTAATTAATATAGTACAAAGAGAATTTTGGAGAGTGAGCACATGACTGACAAGGTTGACCTCCAAAGGCTGCAGCATTAGTCCTCAGGAAGTCATCTGAAGAGAAGACTGGGCTGGGAAGGGCTCCTCTGTACCTGACATCTGTGGCAGAAGACTCAGGTCCCAGGTTCCCGTTCCCCTCACAAGGAAACCCATGCAGCCCAGGCAGGAATCACCCCAGCACTTCCCCAGCCCCATGCACCATGATCTCAACAGTTCAAGGAGTTAAGAAGCAGTTGTGCCCTCTGGAGTGTCAGGAGGCCCTCGGCTTCAATGGTGACCCACCTAGAGCATCCAGGCTGCCAGGCCTGGAGGAAAGGCATGTGGAAATATGGTTTTTCATCAAGCCTGGCTCCAGAATGGAAGCTCGTGACTCTGCCCTGTGCTGCCTCTTTCTGGAGCGGTGGGAAAGAAGCACTTTGGGCTGCCGGGGCCCCACCTTATCCTCACCCACCCTGGGGCTACTCCTCGCCTTTGGGTTTTGAAGTAGCCCCAGTAGATAGCGAGGAGGGTCAGAGAAAAGCCACAAAACCCAAAAGAATGTTTGGCAAAGAAAGTGCCGATGCAGCACAGGGCAGGAAGCCTACCGAGGCCTCTTGTCTGGGAGCAATTTGCTTGTTCATAGAGGAGCCCAGTCTGGAAAAGATGGGAGGAGGGGGTGCAGAGGTCCACTGAGGCCAGCTGTCTTCCAGGCACAGCCCAGGCAGGGATTGGGACTCCCTGGCTCAGGCCTACCCTTGTGACTGCACCCCTCATTCTTCCTGTGCCTCAGTGTCCCCAGCTGGAACACGAAAGGGCCATTAGATTCCTAAAGGGGTGCTGAAGTGTGCGATGTAAAAGGCAGGAGTGGGTACTGACCATGACTACAGCATGAAGGAAGGTTTGTTTAAACTCTGAAACTCCCTCTGCAAAGGGAGGGTAAGACTTGGACTTGAAGCTCTGGCATCATCTCCACACGTTATCTCTATGCAAGTGTCAGCTTTTTTGCAGTTTCCCACATGGTCTTGTTTTCTGAACATGAAGTCCGTGTGTGTGTGTGTGTGCTGGCCAGACACACACATGTGTGGACCTGCCAGGACCACATATACTTGAGCAGTCTGATTTCTCAGAGATGCCCCTGGCCATGGCTATGATGCCGAGGTTCCCACAGCTGAAACTGAGCTGTGCCGAGTGGAAGCCAGCGGGAGGCGGGTAGGATTCTGGCTTTTCTTCCCCGGCCCTGTGTGGGTTTCTTAGTGGTTTCTTCAGTCTGGGCAGCCCCAGAACTAAACCACCACAGGAGAGCTCATGGGACAGCTCACAGTAAGCACGGGCAAGCCCAGCTAGGATTTTAGCTGGGAGACCAGAGTCCACCGAGAGAAAAAGGATGTCATGAACTCAGTGTGAATACCAAGGTTCTACCCCAGTGCAAGATGAGGAAGAACGTGCTTAGAGAAGAGAGAGAGGTCCTGAGCACATTTGAAGAGTTGCAGGATTCTGTTTATTCATCAATATATTCAATAGACATTAACTGAACACCTACTACCTATGGGACAAAGTGCTCATCTCCCACCACTTCCTGCTCCACACTCCACACACACATGCACACATGCACCCATGCACACATGCACTCACACATGCACACACCCTACACTGCTGCTTCTCCTTCCTCCTTAAACGCCCTGTGCTCCCTCATCTTCGGACCTTTGCCTGCTGCTCCCTCTGCTTGGAACTTGTTTCCCTGCCCCTCCCTCTCTTTGCCTAGTTAGGTCCTCCTCATTGTTCCTATTAAATTTCATTCATTCTCCCAAGGGAAAGCTTCCATGAGTCACCCCACCCTGCTTCAGGCCAGGCACACTCCACTCTCACGCACACAGACACATCCATGCATGTGTCTCACAGTGTGTGCCCCTACCGTGTTCCAGGCCCTCTGCCAGGACTGCCCTGTGATGCTGTTTGATCCTTGGTCTCTCCCTTGAGACTGCGACTATTCCACTCCACAGCCCCAGCTCCTAGCACATGCCTGCCCCAAAGTCGGTGCTGAAACAATGATGGTGAATAAATGAATGAATGAGGTTAGAATGCACCTCCTCCCCCTCCACATGTCACCGCCCTTTTCCTCCAGGGCATAAGGAAGACAAGCAAGGAACCCAGCGATGACTAGCAAAAGCAGGCAGGGGGTGGGAGGGCAGCAGCGGGACCCCGCCCGGGCGCTCGGTGTTTGAACACGGCTCTCGGGGCCTCTTAGGTGTGTAAAGTTGTCAACACAACCACACTGACCTGCCTGGCGCCCTCTCTGACCACGGAATACCGGCCCGGCCTGGACGCTGTGGAACGGCCAGACGAGTTCGGATTTGTCTTTAACAACGTCCAATCCTTGCTGATTTACAACGACACCAAGTTCATCTACTATCCCAACCCGACTTTTGAACTGCTCAGCCCTACTGGCGTCTTGGATCAAAAGCCAGGGTCCCCCATTATTCTGAAGGTAGGCGTGCATGCAGAGTGGGGTGCCCGCCACGGGCAGCAAGGGGAGAGCACCCCGCTCTCCTGGCCTGCCTTTCCTTCTGGTTCTCCTCTCTACACATATGGACGGCAAAGCTGTCACCTTCCTCCGGAAAAAGCTTGTTTATAGATATTGAGCCCTTGAGCGATGTATCTTGCACTTGAGATTCTCAAGAAATGCTTCAGAAAGTTTGTTTGTTCTTGTGAGTTTTGGGAACCAGAGGTTCCGCAGAGAGCTGGGAGTGGCTGTTTCCTTTCACTGTCCACTTCTGTGGCCACGGTAACCTGCCCACGTATTTCAAGAGGCCACAGTCCCCTGGTACTGTCTGTCGAAATGGTTGGTTACTCCACCCCTTCCATCAAATTCCACGTATCGTCCCCCCTATTTTCTCTTGTTTAGTGTTTTGTCTGCCCTGCCCCTTTGCCACTCTCTTTTCTCTTTCATTCTCTCTTCCCTTTGTTTTCTTTCTCTCTAAATCGTGGCTGTTAGAAGTCCCTTCCAAAAACCTTACCACGGAGTCCTTTCTTGGTCTTTGCACTCCTGCTCTTCCCCTGTCTCCTTAATCTCTTTTTAAGTAGGCAATTAAATTCTGCGTGCATGTGTCTGTTATTCCTATTAAGATTACTGTCCTCTACAGGGCAAAAACCTCTGCCCTCCTGCCTCTGGAGGGGCCAAACTCAACTACACGGTGCTGATTGGAGAGACCCCCTGCGCCGTCACGGTGTCTGAGACGCAGCTCCTCTGCGAGCCCCCCAACCTCACGGGCCAGCACAAGGTCATGGTGAGTGGGCTCGTCTTCCGTGCCTTCCGCATGCACCATCTGTCATGAGGAAGGGCTCTCTCACCTCATTGCCTGACTCCCACCCTGTGTGTCCCCTCATCTCCACATCCTACATGAAAGTGGGTGGAAGTGGAGCCCACAAGGACAGGAAGGCAGACAGCCCGGCAGGAAGTTGCTCTGCATCCGAGTCTGCACTGTGTGGCTGTGGTCTGTCGTGTCCTCACACTGTAAGGACCTGTCGGCATGCCCGGGTGCTGCACCTGTGTGCATCGTGCACGTCTGTGTGTGTACAATGCGCAGGTTCACGTGGGCGGGATGGTGTTCTCGCCTGGCTCGGTGAGTGTCATCTCAGACAGCTTGCTGACCCTGCCAGCCATCGTCAGCATCGCGGCCGGCGGCAGCCTCCTCCTCGTCATTGTCATCATCGTCCTCATCGCCTACAAGCGCAAGTCTCGCGAGAACGACCTCACGCTCAAGCGGCTCCAGATGCAGATGGACAACCTGGAGTCCCGTGTGGCCCTGGAGTGTAAGGAAGGTGAGTGAGGCACGCCCTCGCCACCGGGGCCCCCTTTCTCCTCTCACCTCACGACCCTCCTCCTTACCAGCAGCCGTCATCTTTCATCCCTCTCTCCTGCACTGACTCTTCTCACAATGTACCACCGCCTGTCCCTCAGGGTCTCAATGTCCCCACAGCCAGAGCCCCTCCCCCCCAGGGTCCATTGTCTCAGACTCTAGATGCCCCAAATGGGAGTGTCGAGCTCCTTTTTTGCATAGCCGTCTTCACAGCGTGTGGGAGCAGCGGCAGGAAGGGCAGGAGAACACCTTGCCCCCCACCACCTCCCCCAGGTTTGTTGCCCATCAGTGCTGCAGGCTGAGCGCTCTGAAGGCCACTGCCCGCTGGCGTCCTTGGCTGTGGCCATGTGTGCAGGTGGAGATTGTGTTTTCTCCTGTCTCCCACGCAACCACAGTCGTAGATGACAAGTGTACCTGGCGTCGTCTCAGGCCAAGGACCCAGCAGGCTCTCTGGGTAAACATCTCAATTAGGAATCTCTTTTTGCTGTAAGCATCAATATCAGAATCCAGCCCTCTGCTGGATGAAGGGAAGAGCTGGGCTGGGGAAGGTGGGGCAAAGGCTCCTCCTGGCACCAGGTCTGGTGAGTTTGCGAAGGAGGGCACCAGGAAGGCAGGCCTGCTACCGAGGCGAGACCTCCAAAGCCCTTCACTACCCAAACGCGCCTGTCTGCCGAGCATCTGATGACCAGAGCTGCCAAGGTTTTTGCATCTTCATCTATTCTCTTGCTGGGGAAAGGGCATCAGTGTGCCTGTTCTGGTCTGTGTTTGACACCCATAGCCACTGCCTCTCACGTGCTTCCAGCACCCCCAGGATCTTTACTGAATGGCCCACGTCACAGCGCTTTTCCTTTTTCTTTACACTTGTAATATGTAGAAAGGAAATTCAAACTCATAGATAAGCAAGATAACATAAAAAGCACCCGTTTTCCTACCACCAAAAATGGCAGCCTAGGGATATGTGCCCTTCTGCAGATACACCCTCTAACCCTCCCTGTCTCTGCACCCCAGGCCCTCTCCTCCTCCTTCACAACTCTCCCTCTCTCCCCTTCCGTCTGGGCTCCCCCCTGAGCCTCCCTGTCTTCCCTCACCCTCACAGCTTTTGCTGAGCTCCAGACAGACATCAATGAGCTGACCAGCGACCTGGACCGCTCGGGAATCCCCTACCTGGACTATCGTACCTACGCTATGCGAGTCCTGTTCCCGGGCATCGAGGACCACCCCGTCCTGCGGGAGCTAGAGGTAACACTTGCCTTCCTGGCCCAACCACTCAGCAGGGGTGCAGAAACCAGGTGTCCTAGGAAATCCAGGGCGGTCTCCCCAGCACACAGTAAGGTTAGGTATGAGGATGGGCCAATAGTTCTCAACAGGATCACAGTGACAGAGCTATCAGGAAGACGCCAACAGGGCACCCGGGCTTCTGGGGATGATTCCAGGGTAAGGCTCCTGGTTTGTCATTTTTTAAATTAATAACCTAATTAATTAATTAATTAATTAATTAATTCTAAAGTGGATTGAAGGTGGCTTAAAGAAAGATGTAGGATTCTGTGGGGTTGGTTTGTTCATTTGTTGGTTTGTTTTACTAAAGATAATAGATCAGGACAGAGGAGATTAAGGGGAGACCAGTCAACTGAAGAAGTCTGATGGGGCGTCTCCTATTGTATCCTTGGGAAAATTGGACAGCATCCCTTCCAAGGGCTCCACATGGAACCCAACCTTCCCAACCCAGCGGAAGGTCAGGGCAGACCGTCGACTACAGAGATCAGCCATCCCTACGTTATTGTGGGTGGGTGAAATGGGGCAGGCGGTCCTGTAGCTGGCCCTTGGGTGAGCCTTGGGCAGGAGCCGGAGCCAGTCGTCTAAGGGTGTCACCCGCCACGCTCCACCACAGGTTCAGGGAAATGGGCAGCAGCACGTGGAAAAGGCCCTGAAGCTCTTCGCACAGCTCATCAACAACAAGGTGTTCCTGCTGACCTTCATCCGCACCCTGGAGCTGCAGCGCGGCTTCTCCATGCGAGACCGGGGCAACGTGGCCTCGCTCATCATGACCGGCCTGCAGGGCCGCCTGGAGTACGCCACTGACGTCCTCAAGCAGCTGCTCTCTGACCTCATCGATAAGAACCTGGAGAACAAGAACCACCCCAAGCTGCTTCTCCGGAGGTCTGACCGACAGCAGGGGTGGGGAGGGTGGCCGGTCTGAACAGGCCCCATAAGCAGCACAAGAAGGTCCCCACTGCCCAGAAATGACATCCATGCAGAGCAGCCTCTGTCCCCGCCCAGTGAGACTGCGGTGTCTGAAGCATAAAGTGCGATGGAGAAGCACAGGCCTCTACTAGCGTCTCCACTTGAACCCCTGCTCTGCCGCCTGCTAGCTCTGCAATCTTAGACCGGTGATATAACCTCTCTGTTGTTTAGTTCCTTATAGACAAAATGAGAATAATGACACCTGTCTTGCCAGCTCCCTCCGCGTGCCTCCAGAGCAGCCCTGCCCAGAACAGCAGACACTAGCCACATGGAGCTGCCATTAGTTAAAATGACACCAAATGTAAAATTCAGTTCCTCCATTGAACTAGCCACATTCAAGTGCTTAGTTGCCATGTGGGGCTAGAGGCCACCACATTGGACAGCACAGATAGAGAACATTTCCACCATCGCAGAATATCCCACTGCACTGCACTGGGCTGGAGATTGTCCCTTCTGTGCCCAGCTTCCAGGATCTGAATCACTAGTGTCCACCATACACCCCAGTTGCCATTTTCCTGACAGGGGAGGGGATCAGAGACCTTGGCACCCCCTGAGCCCACCCTCGTTAGTGGCCGTGGGGTGCGGAGCCCAGCTCTGGAGCTCCTCTGGGCAGCAGGGGTTAAATACTCCACCACCGTTCACCACGCCTCCTCTTCAGCCTTCTCCTAGCAAGGTCTCAGGCTTCCAGGCCCACGTGGGGCAAAGAGGAGAGACCAATGGCTTTGTTTTATGAGTGCTGAGCCCCCATCCTGCCAATCTGAGCATTAGAACTCTCATTAAGAACGGTTGTATTTAAATTAGAGCTAATCTCAGGCACAATGCAGGGAAAGGGTGCTGGGAGGAACCAGGGAGAAAGCTACAATTTTTTCTACCATTGCCATTTGCCCAGACCTAGATTGCCGCGCAGCCCTGGCAAATGCCTGGGATTTACTGCAACTGGAGGGTATAATTTGCACCACGTGCAGGGAGTTAAAATACCCCTCCAGCATCCCCATCACTGAGGGTCTGTCATAGCCGCTTTGTTTCTTCCCAATTCCCCAGATCTGCAGCCTGGGGATGGGGGAGGGGGCGGGGATGGCATTTGCAGAAGCAGATCCCCTGTTGGCTAAACTGACAAACTGCTCTCTACCTGTGGGGTTGGCGTCTGAGACCCCACATGACAGTAGTAACAATAGCTAATACTTAACAATGCTTACCAGGGGCTGGGCGCTCTTGTTAAAACTTTACATACATTAACTATCCCACCCTGACAACAACCGTGTGACGTAGGTATTATTGTCTCCACTTGGAGATGGAGAAATTAAACCCAGAGAGGTTAAATGACTTGCCCAAGGTCACAGAGCCAGTACATGGCAGAGCTAGAATGTGAACTCAAGGCAGTCAGACTCTAAATTTTTGGAGGGGCAGGTACCTTTTGTAAAACAGAGCACCTGAACACTCAAGAAACCCCAGAGGAACAGAAACATTCTCTTTTTATCACCCCGGGGCCAGATGGGAGTAGAGAGAACTGGTCCTTTATAGCCCTGTTAGGTGGGTACTGGGTGCCTTTATCTGCGGCCCATCTCAGATACATCCAAAGCAGTTCATAGCACCACAGACCATCAGGATGAAAGGTCCGACCTCTCCATTTTCACAGGAAATAGAGGTGCAGAAAGAAGCTGCCCCTGGACTGAGGTCACACTTGTAGTTACTGGTGGAGTTGGGCTAGGACCCAGGTGTCCTGGCTCCCAGCCCTGGGTTCTTTCAAGCCCTGTTGTTCTCTGGGGCCATGGCCCACCCAGCAAGCCCAGGCCCCACCACCAGGACCCCTTGCAGAGTCTTACATTCCACCTTCCTCCCTTCTCCCTTCCCCAGGACAGAGTCTGTGGCTGAGAAGATGCTGACCAATTGGTTCGCTTTTCTCCTGCACAAGTTCCTGAAGGTGAGAAAGGGGGCAGGCGGGGCCCAGAGTCGAGAGCAAGGTGGCAGCATGGGGACCCATCCCTTAGGGCTCCAAGGCACAGCAGGCCAGGGAAGCCTCCCTTGGCACTGCCCCGGCTCCTGGGAGGGGCAGTCAGGAGAGGACGGGGAGGAGTGCAAGCCGAGGGCCTGCACCCACGCCTCTGCGCTGCCTGTGCCCACAGGAGTGCGCCGGGGAGCCGCTGTTCATGCTGTACTGCGCCATCAAGCAGCAGATGGAGAAGGGCCCCATCGACGCCATCACAGGCGAGGCCCGCTACTCCCTAAGCGAGGACAAGCTCATCCGGCAGCAGATCGAGTACAAGACGCTGGTGAGCAGGCCAGACGCTCGGGGCACAGAACATGTACCTCTTGCTTCTGTTCCATACTCTACCTTCTGACCACTGAGGTTGCACGGGGATCAATAAAGAGGCTCAGACGCCAGCCTAAGTGTGCCAAGGGCAAGGTAGACATGCCTGGGCTCCACCGCCCCCATCCCCGCTGGTGGGCCCTAAGAGCTCTCTGTGCCTTAGTTTACCCCAGATGATATTGGGAGAGAGAAAAGGCCACCACCATTAGGTATGGGGTAACTAGCGTTATGGGAGGACGAGAGTATGTTGAGTCCAAACGTAGAGGCTTTGGGAATGTGTAAGGCCCACCTTCGATACCCTAGAACCATCTCTCAACCCCTAGGGCTCCTCATTGCCCTAAGCCATCCAGGAGCTAGAAGGTAGAGTCCTGGTTCTTTGAGGAAGGAGGGGTGGACACATGACTCAGGCTCTCATTTGACAGATGACAGGAAGGTGAGAGAAACTGCGGCACAGACCAGAGAGGCACCCGTTTCTTTTATAAGCAGGACGAACCTTTAAAAAGAATATTCCGAGGCTCGTCCCCTCTCCCAGCCTGCTCCTTCCACTCCTGTTCTGCTCACCCCACCTCCCCCACTTACAGATCCTGAACTGCGTCAACCCCGACAACGAGAACAGTCCGGAGATCCCAGTGAAGGTGCTGAACTGTGACACCATCACACAGGTCAAGGAGAAGATCCTCGATGCCGTGTACAAGAACGTGCCCTACTCCCAGCGGCCAAGGGCCGTGGACATGGACCTGGGTAGGAGGCCTGGAGCACAAGGGGACCGGGTGGACCAACAGCTTCCTGGAGGGTGTTCAGGCCCCGGGAGGGGGTGAGGAGATGGGAAGCCCTGCACTGCACACAGCACCTCCCAGGGGCATGACTGAGTCCTGCCCAGGTGAGGGCCAGGCAAGATGCTTCTCCCTTCCCGCACTGCCTGCTCCAAAGTGGCCGTGTCTGGGGAGGTCCACACGTCCTGCCGCCCTCGGCTGCCTTGACCTCATGGAGCCCTGGATCTCTCTCAGCTCTATCATTTGCACCAACTTGAGGGAGCCAGGGGGTTGCCAAGTCCCTAAGGGGGACACGACTGGGTGGCCCTGGCTCACAGCCCCCACCCCTCTCACGCTGCCACCTGCACCCCC